CCACACTTAAAGCAAGTGAGTGGGAGCTTCCTCTCTACTCCCTTGCCTATCTGTGGCTCTTGTCTGTGACACTGTCTACTGAAGCCCAGCTTTCCACAGTGGAAGCAATTCTGGTACCAAGAGTTTTGATTGTGGAGCCAAGCAAACTAAAACTGTTAACAATCTCAGTCTCTTCACCATCTACCAGGCTGCTGCCAATTGGCCCAGTGGAGAATCTTTGTTTTCTTCATGTTGAGCTTCAATTCATACTGAAAGCTGCAGTCTTCGACTTTCTAAGCAAGCACTTCAGGTCCTCCTCAGTTTCAGCAAGGAGGGTTATGTTATCTGTGTAACGCAGGTTGCTGAGTCTTCCTCCAATCCTGACGTCACATTTCTCCTTATAGAGCCAAGCCTTCCAGATCATCTGTTCTGCATACAGGTTGAAAACGTATGGTGATAGGACACATCACTGGCGTACACTATTCCCAATTTTGAACCATGCAGTGTTTCTCTGCTCTGTTCTGATGACTGCCTCCTGGTCCAAGTACAGGTTTTGCTTAAGTATGATCAACTGTTCTGGGATTCCTGTTGTACTTAAGAGTTAGCCAGTTTATTGTGGTCCACAGAGTCAAATGGTTTTACATTGTTAATGAAACATAGACGGACATTCCCTCTGGTACACTCTGCTTTCAACCAAAATCTAACATTAGTTAAAATATCCCTAGTAGCATGGGCTCTTCTAAACCCAGCCTGCACTTCTGGAATTTTCTGCTAATGTGTTTTTCCAGTTGTTTTTGGATAATACAAATTTGGATAAATACAAATGGAAGATGGGGGGAGGGGGAGAAGCTCATAACTGTACTATAAACCAGGAAGCTCTTGTTACAAAGTCCAAATAGGGTTCTGCTGGCATCTTCCCCTGTTCTCTATACCTTCTTATCCCTAATAACGCTCACTTCTTTTTAGGGGAACTCTTCTGATCACCTTAAAAACTAGAGTGTGATCCAATTTGGGAAAAAAACAATGCCTTTCCCTGAAAAGTAACAGTTTGCTAACATGTGCTGGGGACCCTGAATGATGCAAATATCTTGTGATTACTAGAGGTTGGTGGTTCAAATCCATCAAGTGGCACATGTAACAAAGACCCTATGACCACTGTCTATGAAGATCACAACCAAGGAAACCCGATTGAAGAGCTTTGCTCTAGAACACATGAGGTCAAAGAGTCAGAAATGACCTGACAACAACAGGCTTGTTTTTTACTGTTTTGAGTTATGATTTATGCTGATGTAAGCAGAAAACTGTCAATCATGGCTACCTAAAATATTTACCACACTGACCCTCACTGCAAAAGAATATCCTAAAAGGAAAAAAAGTCAGCCTGGAAATAAAGAAAAGAAAAAAACCAAAAAACAAAAAAACACACCAGCAAACTAAACTGGAAAACATCAGAGTCAAGTTTAAGAGATGGGAAGAGAGCTTGTTTGGGTGTTTGGAGTCATCTACGCCTGTACTTGTCTATTGAGTCACTAAATTGATCTTCATGCTGATAGTGGTTTTAATTTGGCTTGATCTGTCACTTAATATCAAGTGAAGGCTCACTCATTAATAACTAAAGATATACAACATCTTAAAAGAAACAATTTCATCTTAAAGTTATGTTAGTGATGCAGTAGCTCAAATAAATAAACAAATTTGAAGCTCAAAGTAGACTAGGCATTGCGGGTAAAGTTTAGATGGGTAATATAAAACCAATTACAACACAGTACATATATTAACCAAATTAAACAAAATGTGCATCGCCAACTGTTGGCGTTCTCTTTTTAACATTTTAATTAAACACTGTCATATCTGGATCCACCACTTGCTAAAGGGAAGTAAATGGTATATTCTGGAATCCTAAATATACTATTACAATGACATTCTTTAATTCACATGTATATTAACAACAACACAAAATCTGCTTGTTGTAATTTATGACAATTGATACCTGATATCATAATTGGCAATTATTAAGTTTATCTTCCTTTTGAAATTAATGTTTAAACATAAACATGGCCAGGTGGAGCTTTCCTCCTTTAAAAAATCTGATCCATGAATAAAAACGTAGGATGTTGAACTTAACAAGGATAAAGGAGTTTGTCTATTCACAGGAGAATTTGTAAGAGTTATTTTAAAAATAGAAGAGGGCCTCAAGAAAGAAACAGGTCTTAAAATTACTTCTAAGGGCTCTTAAGTGAATTATCCCAATTTCACCCTCTCCAAGTCTGTGACATGGTTATTCATAAAAACACATGTTTACTGTAAATCTTGTGGGAATTAATGTGCATATTAATCAAATGAACTGATTGTTGTATTTAAGGAAATGTTGCTAGTTAAATTCTTTCCAGAGCAATACTCTGTAACTAAAATGTCTGTCAGTATTCTAGAAAATAAGAGAGGCGAAGCTATTGTGTATTTCCTACCCTCATCATCCCAATACTGGTCAGGGGAAAATATAGGATAAACCCATTGGTTTTTTGTCCAGTTTTTAACTTATATTCTAGAAGGGAATGGAACTTAGCTTTTCTTGGAAACGAGACTACATCATAACAGATTTTACTGTCAGGAAATGCCTCTCCAGCTTGATATTAGATCACATGTTCTTTTTGTGTACTTTGTCCTACTTTTCTCAATAACAACTCTATGACACAATAAATTCAATTTCACCCTACTTCTTGCCTATTTCACAGAGACAAATTTCACTTTTAAGTGAGGTTTAATTAAGGTTAAGTCTGAATCTCTTGAAATATATCAACTTCTTTCTCCAGTAATGTTGTGAATAACATAATTCTACATGAACCCTTTAATATAACATAAAGAAGAAATATGTATATACTCACATTGCTTTTAATCTTTATGAATCACACTGCCACGATTTCATACTAAAAATTTTTCCGTCATTCTCTTTCAGATTTTCTTCAACAATTACTATCCCAAGCAATACATATTTCCATTCTATAAATTCCTCCTAAATTCATCTGCCTACTATTTTCTCATAATTCTAATATTTACAAGTCTCTTTAATGAATGTCTCTGGTTTATTTCTGGTCTAAAAGTTATTCTAATTATCAACTGAAAATTGTATTTCTTTAATGTCCAATTTTGTCACTGTATTCTTAACCATTAAGTATACAGATGCAATACAGATGTAATAATTTTTTATTCTTTTATAGTCTCATTGTGATTTCATAACTACATAAATTCCAATAAAATTAGAAAACTTTATTTCAATATATGAGATCATAATGCACACAGAACTTCATAAGGTATAAAATAAAGCATGTATATACATAAATCTACACATATACATTTAAATAACAAACTGAAGAGTCCCAATTGTTTTTGTTTTTCTTTAGTAATTGCTAGACATTTCAATAGAGTATAAAAGTGGCTACCATAACACCCCTGTATAACACAGTATTGCCTGTGTGGCAATAACAAAGCATATCAAAATGGAACAAAAGGTACAGAATTCATAGTAGCAGACATTCACTCTGTGAACAATTAAGTGCTCAAATTCATTAGAACTTATGGATCCAATCAACAATGTGGAGTATGTTGCTGGTAGGTACCATCAAGTTGACCACAACCCACAGAGACCCTACAGATCAGAACAACAGATCTGATTTTCTAAGGTGAATATAAAAATAATCCTTGCATTTCCAGTGCCTACCAGTGGCCACAGGCAGAAAAGGTTACATGTAAACTTCAAAGGCAAGAATGGACAACTGGTGAGGCTCCGTGACCCTGGGGAGAGTGCATCACGTGGTTTTTCTGTTTAGTGAGGCTCCACTAAAGAAGTGAAATGCTGAAGCCAACACAGGTGATCTTATGCCAAATTAAACAGAAAAAAGCTTTCAGAATAGGGAGTCACATACAGTTAAGTCAGGATCTAATGAGCCCTTTATTGATGAGATGAGATGTAAAACATTCTTAATATGAAGAAGGGCCTGCCTGTACAGGTTAGAGAAAATATATATATACATATGGTTTTTAAAAACTGTTTTAGATTGTTTTAATTATTTCTCAGCCAAAAAACTTTCCAACCACTCATTGATAAAACTCCAGTCTTCCAAAAGCCAATCAATGCATAGTCTTCATCACCTTCTAGAAGAAATGCTCAATTTCCATTGCCAAAACTCTTGGTAGATTCACGTTTCACTAGGGGAAAAAAAAGTAAACATACAGTCAAGTGTTTATACTGTTTCTGTTTAGCCTGTTCTGTTTTCCCCCTTTTCATCTTCCGTCTGAGACACAGCAGCAGCACTGTTCCCAGGGGCTGACAAGCATGTCATATCCCCAGGCAGCCAGATACACAATTCTGGCCACAATAAATAGAGAAATGGGGTCTGAAAGTGGTAATTATATTCCATGAAGTAACATCCTTCCTGACTCTGTGGAAGACTCGGGAATGGTCACTGGACAGTAAGGTTATAATCCCGTATTTGCAGCACTGACTAGATCATGATGATCATGCAGGCTAATCGACTGTGGTAAGAAGAAATTTTCCCATGATCTCATCTTTTAAAAAAATCAAAGGTCAGTATACACATATGTTGAGTGTACAGTGACTTACAGAAGACTAACTGTCATCTTCTTCCTTCTATCAAAAAGAAAAATCAGAAAGAGCTCAAAGTTTTTGTCAGGCCTAGAAAGAAAAAGGCAGCAAATTTACTTACTCAACGGTTCCTCAAGGATAAAAAGAGGTTTTCTCCCTAATATCCATTCCACATGCAGTAATGTCCAATGACTAACTCTACTTTAGTTTCTTTCTGCAAAATGGGAACCAGACAGAAGCTTGAACCCCTGAGTGGTACAAACAGTAACACACATGGTTGCTAGACAAAAGGCTGGTTGGTGGTTTGAGTCTACTCAGAAGCACCTCAGAAGAAAAGTCCTGGTGATCTACTTGGAAAAAAACCAGTCATTGAAAATCCTGCGGAGCACAGTTCTACTCTTTCAGATAGATTATAAGGCCACCAACAGTCAAAAGCAACTTGGGTTTTGACTATTGGCAAAACAACAACTATTTTAAAAATTATTTTAAAAATTTAAGAATTTTAAAATTATGAAGCCAAAACAATACAGAAATGTAACTTGAAAATTGCTGAGTTTAAAAGACATGCTTGAGGCTCATCACTGTAAACTTCTGTTGTGAAAACAGTAAAAATAAAGGTCAGAGAAGGAGAGTGAATGTTCTAGGTTCCACTGAAAACTCTCTACTGTTGAGCTGGAACCAACTGCAGGGTCTCAGAGGCTGTAAAATGCACCAGAGATTGCTCACCTTTCTTCCTCAGAGCTGGTGGATTTGAACTGCGAGAGAAGCTTCACCTTGAAAAAGCAACACAACTCTCTAAGGACTATGCCACCAGAGCTGACAGAACCATAAACTTGAAACTTGCAAGATTTTAGATGGCAATTAGATTTTTAAACTATACCAACAACCATAAAGATAGTTAGTTACAGAGGCTTCTGGGTATTTTGTTCTATTGTACATGGAGTCATCATAAATCAGAAGTCAACCTGATGGCAACTAAACAGGAGATGTATTGCACTGGGAAAACCTGCCGTCAGGGACCTCTGCAAATTATTGAGGAGTAATACCAATTTGAGGACTAAGGTGTGTTTGATTCAGGCCATGGTATTTCTGCTCACTTGCTATGCCATCTAAGAGCTAGGCAGTGAGTAAGGATGACAGAATTGTCACCTTTGAGCTATGGTGTTGGAGAAGAGTACTGAACACTCATGGACAGCCAAAAGAACAAATAAATATGTCTTCGAGAAAGTGCAGCCAGCGTGCTCCTTAGGGGCAAGGATCATAAAGCTTTGCCTCAACATATTTTAGGTATGTTGCTAGGAGGAGTTAGTCCTTGGAGAGAGACATGATGTTTGGAAAGGCAGAGGGTTGGCGAAGGAGAGGAACACCCTCAAGCAGATGGATTTACACAGTGAAAGCAGCAATGAGTTCTAGTGAGTCAGGAGGTGTGAGGATGGGACAGGATAGGACAGGATTCAGATCTGTTAGTCAAAGGGTCACTATGGGTTATACCCCACTCGATGACACCTAACTTAACAATAATAACTCTGTGACTAAGAAATTAAAATAAGTTCCAACCAAGGCTTGGTTCCTGCCCCTGTTGAATTTTATAAGCTGCTGAGTCCTTCAACAATTTCCATAATCTTATGAGTTAACTGTTTTCTCCTGTGGATTCCTTGGCACTCCAGGCAAACTTTACTGCACTACTTACTGTGCTGTAGACTCAGAGGTGGTGCCTCTCTGGCAGTTTGACTCCACTAGTGGCTCTGTGGGAGAAAGATGGGAAATTTCCTCCTGTATCATATATAGCCTCAGAAAACACACTGGAGGGTCAGGTATGATGAGCTGGTTCAGACTCAGATGGTAATGTTCTAAGTTGCTGTTAAGTACCTTAAGAATTTGAACTGAATATAGCTGACCCTCCTACAATAGTCCAGGGTTTAAATCCCAAGAGAGATTATTCATCTTTCCCCATAGAGCAGCTGGTGGATTCTAACCTTGTCCCTTTGGGTTGGCAGTGTAACTCCTTATCACTAAGCCACCTTAGTAGTAAGCAGTACTGTGTTATAATGCTTATATGTGTGTTCTTGTGTTTGAGATCTACTTTATCTTTTCTATCCCCTGATACACACATACTGAAAAAGAAAGGAGAAGAATGAGAAAGGTGAGGAAACGGGAAGGGAAGAAAGAATTTACTGGCCAATGAGTGATTCATGTGTGGACGGAACAGAGATGGGTACTATGCCAGCAATTTTCACTAGCATGGCTTTGATTTTTTTTCCTCAAAAGATAGTAATTTTCTAATCTTAGCTGTGTTAGGATACTGTTGTTATGTGCTGCTGAGTTGATTCTGACTCATAGCAACTCTATGGGACAAAACAGAACTAACCGCCCAGTGGTTTTCCAAGGTTATAAATGCTCAATGGAAGCAGACTATCATATCATATCCTTCTACCAGAGCAGCTGGTGGGTTTAAACTATTGACCTTTTGATTAGTAGCTGAACACTTAACCACTCTGCCAACAAGGTTCCTTAAAAAACATCTTTTTAAATTAATATAGCTTTGTATTATTTGGAAGTTTAGGGAAATATACTTCCATTACTTTTCCTACTGAGATTGTCAGCTTTCTTTTTTCAATAGGGCCCTTCTTTTTTGGACTGAAATACAGAATGCTTTTATAAAATGATATAAACCTACAACTCTTAACTTTGGCCAACAAGCGCCTCTAAACTAGGTCACATCATTTTGAACGCTTCCATCCACAGATACAAGGTTAGGGAAGCACTCCACATTAACATTACAATGTGATGCCTTGACTGCTTTACCTTTTATAAAAAAACTTTCCTTATTCCTTAAAAAGCAAAAATCAAACAAACAAAACTTGCTTACTGCCATAAGTAGAGGCTGATTTTTGAAAAAGTAAATTATGGCAACCTGTAACTAAAACAAACATTATAGTCATCACCAGTGTGAAAACTCCTGACTCTCAGTCCAGGACTTTATTTCTCTCCAAACCAGAAGAGAGACACCTTGTACTATGAACCCAGGATCATAACCAAATCTTTTTTTTTTCTCCCTCTGGCGAGGGAAGGAATCTCAAGACTTTCCAAAGAAAATGCCTTGTTCTTGTTTGCCCCTTCCCACATCAAGGGGCCACCCTGCAGAATATTCAGTGTTGTAAAGTGCTTACCAAAGATATGTATGAACAGGAAGGCCTAGCATTATATTTAGATATGTGCCCTCTTACAGTGACAACGTTGGCATAGTCTCTAAATTCTCTTCCGATTCTTGTCTGTTCTTTGCTTTAAATGAATTATCTGTGCAGAAAAAAACGAGTCGCCTAAGCCTCGTAATATAAGTCCACCATCATACATCCACTATATAACACTGCATTTTACTTAGTAAGATTCCAAATACACTACCAAAGCAGCCTTTTCTTTTTGCTTTTCTACAGGAAACCTTACTTCAGTGTGCACTCCTAAACAAGGTGAAAGAGGAGCTGTGTGTGCTATGTTTATTTACACAGATAATGTTTGCCCTGGCTAGTAACTGGCATTACTAAACAAATTTCCCTGAAACCAGCATTTAGAAAGAGAGCTATGTGAGTTATATTAAGGAGGGATAGCCTTAAAAAAAGTAAAACAGGTCATTTAAAATTGAAATTTCTAATTCATGCTATAAGAAGAAAATGAATATAACATATTTTCATAATTTAAATTATTTCAACTATATATATATATATAGAGAGAGAGAGAGAGAGAGAGGAGAGAGAGAGAGAGAGAGGAGAGAGAGAGAGAGAGAGAGAGAGAGAGAGAGAGAGTAAAGAATGTAACAATTGGAAACTTCACTTTGCCAATGAACATTTGGTTTCAAACTGTAGCAATGACCAACATTCTGCTGTGGAAAACAATTTCCGTTAACTTTTGTTAAGAAAAGTTATAGATATATACAGAAATAACAAAATCAGCTCCACCACCATTGAATTAATTGCAACTCATGGTGATCTTCCATCAGATTTCTAAGACTATAAATCTTATTAGGAGGAGTCTGCCATCCTATTTTCCATGGAGTAGTTGTTGACCTTTCACTTAACCTATAATGACTCACCAAAAAGGAATACACTTTCTACTTTTTAAAAACCAGTAAAATGCTAAATGTGTTGTTGTTGTTGGTTGCTGTTGAGTCGAGCACAACTGATAGCAACCCTATGAACAAGAGGCCTGAAGTCTTTCTATAACTATTGTTGCTTCTCCAAGTTCATGTGGTTTCCAGAGGCATGTGGTTTAGGAAGTGCCAAGGAAAAGAAAACTTATAGGTTTAAAAAAGATAAAAAGGTCTAAGTACTGCAGTCAAAATTATAAACATAATATTCCTTGTGACATTATCTCTTACAATATAAGAAAGCAGAAACTTTTATAAATCCTTAATTTTAGGAACCTCTAGTAGAAGAGTTCTACTAAGAAGTAAATTTATTTTTAGTATTGACAAGAATGAATTACTAAAAACATATTAACTTAAAAGAGTAGAGAGGGATGGGAGAAAGAAACATACAGAACCCTAACAAGGTAAACTGAAACTCACTGTAATTGGGTTGGAACATATAGCTGACAATCAAGCAGGTTTTCAGAAGCTGTAAACTGCACAGGAGGACACTGCTCATCTTCCTCCAAGGAGCCGCCAGGGGATTCAAATTGCCAGAGGGGCACCACTTTAAGGTTAGCAGGGCAACTCTTTACAGACACATATTTAAAAATTAAGGTGGCCTAGTGGCAAGAAGCTGCTTTGCAATCCCGAAGGTACATGGTTGGAATCCACCTACTGCTACATAGAGAAAGATGGGCAATCGCCTTGTATACAATTAAAATGCCCCTAACCCCCCCCACCCCCGAGTCAGCTATGGGTTGATTCTGACTCTAACATACATAACAACAACTGTTTAACATTTAGTAGAATTATTCTATAGCATTAAAGGCATAATATTACACTTACCTTCATGAATTTTCATGTCACTACAGGATCCTTTTAATACCACATGTAAAGTTGGATACTCGATAATTACTTTGTTCTTCAAATTGTCTAGGAGACTTTTACAAGGATCCAGTTCATAATAACTGATATAGAAAAGAGTAAAAGAAAAATATTACAAACTTCTCAATACTAGAAAAGATTCATACATAAAACAAATATATCAGACAGTCCCAAATATATGCAGAGGGGTAAGGTGAAGACATTAATTCAGTACTTAGTTTTAGCCAAATTGAAACAGATTCTAATAAAATCAAGTGCAAGACTTATTATAATTGAGGTTCTGAAATCACCTACAAAGTATCACCAGGAAAACTCTAAAACAAAGTGGTATTTTCACATGAAGTAAGAAATGTAGAATAACTTTTAAGTAACCATCACTCACTGTTACTGAGTCGAACCTAACAACCCTCTTCTGGTTTTCAAAACTGTAAATCTTTACATGAAGAAAACTGTCAATCTTTCTCCCGAAAAGCAGCTAGCTGGTGGATTAGCTGCCTGATTCGTTATACACTATATGTCACCTGGACTCTCTACCTTTAATGTAACAGCTATGTTGAATTTATCACAATTCCTTGTTGGAATTGCAGCACAGTTTACCACTAGGCCATCAGATCTCCCTGAAAACAAATTGTTCTTAATAAAAGAGTATCTTAAAACCTAAAAATTCTAAAATATATTATCTCTCTCATGATAAATTAGCAATAAACACAAACTCTTTACTGTCAAGTTGGAACTCAACCTATACTGAGTTTCCAAGCCTGAAAACTCAATGGGAATAGACTTCTAATCTCTCTCAGCTACTAGTGGATGTGAACCTTTGAGCTGGCAGCAAAATTCAATACTAACTCCAAAATCTTTTGTAAAAACTTTATAAATTGTTCTTAGAAATAAATAGAATCATACAATTAACTTCAGCTTTCCTTATTTTGAAATGGAAAAAAAAAAATTATGGTTCCAAAATGAAGCAGAAGAACAAAAGTGAAAAAACAAGGAGTTTTTCAGTCTATTACCATAACAAAAAATGGAAATGCGTCACAGATAATTAAATACTACCTGTTGTTGTCAAGTAAATTTTATGATGCATGGAGACCTCAGCTATCAGATTTGCTGTATGGCAGTGACAGACACACATGCTACACACATACCCCTCTCTTGTGACACTGCTAAATGAAAGAAAGTTTTAAGTTCAAAGCACCAGCAGTTTCTTAGGAGAAAGAGGGTCAGTCTCCTCCCATAATGATTTCAGTGTCAGAAACCTAAATAAATCAGAATCACAGTGGGTTTTATATACAGACATGCATACACATACTCAAGTGGCATGTACTCACACATACTTATATATTCTTTTATTGTGATTTGGGTGAAAATTTATTGGGAAAATTGGTTTTAGTCATATACATATACATTGGTTACAGTTCTCACAAGGTGGCAGCACTCTTCCCACTTCCTGATGTTATTGTTCAATTTATAGACTTATCTACTGTTTGTTTAAAAGTTGAGCTCTGGAGATGACATAAACTGCTAAAGGGTGACTTCAAGTTGTTATTGTTCTAAAGCCAAATTAAGGCTTCCAACAACTTAAAAAAGGGAACTTATTTGTTTTGAAAAAATAAAATTGTGTACTTTCAAATACTGAAAAATAGAAAATGTAGTAGGACATGGTTGGACAGGATTCAACAGATCTTCTAGACTAAAACAGGTCAAGAAAAAAGTCTTGGTGATCTCCTTTTAAAAATAAGCCAATTACCATGCAGCACATCCTAACAGAATATTGTTAAATTATAAGAGAATAACTGTCTAACGTTATTCTGGAAGAAAAGCCTCTCAAGCTGGAAAGCACTCAAAATGCACGGTGGCCACAACAGTGAATGTGATTGAGTATACCAGCACCATGAAACTGGTGCTGGTACCAGGCAACACTGAGTTGGAACCAACTTAATAGCAACTAACAGCAATGTTCCTTAAAGTATAACTTCTAATAGTATTAATAAAAATAAAAGAGTTAAGGTTGTATTCTTGTAACATTTTCATTTGTCTAATTTTTCTGGAGTGAGAGAAAAAGGAATGGAATTCCAGCTAGTTGCATATTGAAATATGTTGGTATGAGAATGTTACCTGTACTGCAAAAAGGAAAAATCTTGCAGCATGTCCACTAGTGTAGTGTATAAATTCTCCAACTCTGGTTGCCTAGTGGTAAGAAGCTGTACTACAATCACAAATGTATGCAGTTCAATTTCAACAACTGCTCAGCAGGACAAGGATGGGTATGGTAGTCTTTCCTCATGTGATTTACTGCCTCTGAAAACCCTCAAAGGTCAGTTATAGATTGGTTCCAACTTGACGACAAGCAACAAGAAGAACAACATATATTTTTAATGCCTTTCAGTTAGATGGCCAGTATGACAGCTCAAACTTTTCCTCAACTAAGAAAGCACAATGATAAAGACAGGCGATAAAGAATAAAATTATCATCAGGATACATTTGAAATGGTTGTAATTTTGCTTTGAGAGTAAATAAGTCACAAGTGTTGGTACTTCTTAATCAATTACAAATTCCTTGCACTATAACTCACAGCTAAGCCATGTAGCACATTTTAAGAACACTGACATGTTGATCTCTCTGTATTCTAAGCCTGTCTCTTGCAATAACTTTTCAAACAGTAGAATACTCAAGAGCTTAAAAAAAGCACACAGAAAAAAATAAACTATGTTGTTGTCGACTGCCTTCGAATTGAGCACAAATTCACAGCGACCCTATGAACAAAAGGCTTGAAATCCCTATACAACTACGGATATTTATCAAAGTTCTTAGAGTTTCTGGAGGCTTGTAGTTTAGGAAGTGGATGCCACTCCTGCTTCCAAACCTGTCATAGTATGTTACTGTTGTTACGTGCCGCTGAGTCGCCTGTGACGTATAGTGACCCTATGCACAGCAGCTCTGAACCCTTCCCTGTCCTGAACGAGATTTATTTAAGAAGTATGTGACAAGTGAGCTGACAATTTTAAAGCCACAATCTTACTTGTGTTTGCCTGAACACACAATCCAACCTTGGAATTAAATATTCATTTATGATGACAGGATGTTTTATATGACAAAAAGAAACTTGAAACACAAAATAGTTATCCTAAACCAGCTACCCCAGTGCCCACAGGACACAGAACACACACAGTGTTTTCCAGTGTAATATAATACACATGTGATCACAACACATTACAAGTGGTTCCAGCATTTGGGGATTAAATGCTCATATCTTTGAAATATTATTTCCTTTTGAAACAAACAGAGATCTTTAAAGAGAGATTAACTATATAAAAAAGGAAAATGAGATTAGTACAGATACCAAAGCATAATGTAACTAAATTTTTCCTAGTAGAAAGTGAGACCTGAATTTTTATAACTAGTATACCACAAATGCTTCTAACAACTTCGGATTGGTAGCACAATTTCCCACCCACTCTACTTTGACAATTGCATTAGAGTGTTGAGAAGCCAAAACAAAGGGAAGAGAATTTAAAATAAAAGAGCTGAAAAGGAAATTTCAAAAGGCAGGTTGGGAATACAAAGCAAACTACTATAATGGAAGAGATTTACAAAGCAAACTACTATAATGGAAGAGATTTATAATTGCAAAATAAAAAGACATGGACTCACTCAGCATTTCTCAAGCTGAAAGAATTGAAAAACAAATTCAAGCCTCAAAATGCAATACTTAGAGATGCCATAGATAAAATCTTGAATGATCCAGACAGGAAATGTCAAAATAAGGTGAAAAGAATATATAGAATCGCTGTACCTAACAGAACTGGTCAGCATGTAAATATTTCAGAAGTACCATATGATCAAGAGTCAAAGGTAATAAAGGAAGATGTTGAAGCTGCACTAAAGGCATTGACAAAAATAAGGCTCCAGGAATCGATGAGATACCAATTAACATGTTTCAAATGACAGATGCAGCCTTGGATGCACTGACCAGTCCATACCGGGAAAACGAAGGACAGCTGCCTACTTATTTATTTATTTACTTATTTTTAAAGGACGGGATGGCTATTTTATGTGCTAAACAGGTACTCTGCAAAACACTTAAGTTTGCAGTCTCAAAAATTTTCTAACAAATTTGAACACCTAATGAAATTTTTAAAAAGTTTTATTTAGGGAGCTCTGGTGGCCTAGTGGCAAGGAGCTGCAACTACAATCCCAGAGGCGCACAGTTCGAATCCAACAGATGCTCTGCTAGGGAAGGAGGGGCAATCTCCTCCTGTACCAGTCAGATCTGATTTGACGGTACACGCACACGAAAATAATAAAATTAAAAAAAAGTTTTATTTAAACACAATAGAAATCTAGTGAGAATGCTCTGGTTAGAATCACCAAATTTTAATGTTTAGGTTAACATCTTCAAATTTCTAATCACAGCTATTACTAACATTGTCAGTATATTGTGGCCTTTCGCTTTCTAGCTTGTTCTATCAGGTCAGATTTTACTAAATAATCTTTCAGCTATGAGCTCTGTTAGCACAGTGGTTAAGCAGTTGCACTGCCAAATCAAAGGCAGGTAATGTGAATCCACTAGCTGCTCAGCAGTAGAAAGATGGGCAGTCTCCTCCCACGAGATTTACAGCTTTTGAAAGTCGGCTGGAGGGTCAGCTATAAACTGTTTCTAACTCAAGAGCACATAACAAGAGCAGTCTGTGGACTAAGTAGCAACTTCACTACTACACTATAGGGTCAAAACAATGAAGACAGCTACATCTGTCTTTTTTAACCTTTGGGACAATTTCAGACCTCTCCTTTTGCTATTTTACTTACTCAGCCTCCTGGGCTCACTGGTTGACCTTGCTCTCAACAGCTTCACAAGGTGTAATGAAGTCAGCATAGCTTAGTAAGCCAAACAGGAGTTGCCGAGACTGACAATAAAAATCCGCTTGATATTCAAGAGTGTGCTTTCAAGTGCTGGACCTTTTACTAACTTTCAAAGACAATGGATAAATTCTTTTACATCACTTCCTGTACTTTCTTGGCATATGAGTATTTATAAAAATTATTCCTAAAGCAAAGATAATGAGAGGTTGGTTTTGTTTTGGT